TAAATATATTCTGCCTTTAAACTCTGTTGTTCCTAAAATTCATTCTTGCATTTTAGACAACACAAACTCATACCAGACATAGAAGTTCAGGAATTTCATTCCACTACATCATGGTATGGTTGCCTCTATTTCTACCTAACTCAGCTGCCTGTAAATATAAGAATTGTTTATCAATTTTACTTGGAGTAACTGTAGCAAATAAAATGTTCTTAATGAATAAAGGGAAATATATCATTAAATTGAAAAAAATGATTATCACAGTTTTTCTACCTAGCACCAGCCAACATTTTCAACTTTCAACTATGTGGGAAAACAAAAAAATAAAAACAACTCAGAAAATTGCAATCCTATAAGGGACAGTATATCATTCACTTTAATTGCCATGTTATCTGTAGGTATTTCATAGACCACAAAAGAAACGTTGAGCCTATTAACTACCAATTATCCATTTCAATAAATGTGCTCATAGCACTGCATCGTTGACAACTGTGATTTTTTTTCTGTGTGAGGGATTGAACTCATGACATTGTGCTCTCCAGGCAGCTCCTTGTATCCCTGAGCTCAATACCCAGACCCAACAACTTTAGATAGTAAATGTGACTATTAACACTGTTTAATTTGCCATTGACATATTTAGTTATAAATTTTGTAAACCTACATTTTCACAAATGAAATTATTTCCTTTCCTTGCAGTTTAAATTACTTTTTTTTTTTAGGTACCAGGGATCAAAGCTACAACCTAGCACTTTCCAGGCAGGTGTTTCTGCCTCCTGAGCTAAATCCCTGGCCTGTATTAATGAATACTTCACTTTATTCATTCAAATAAAACTGTCATTTTAGAAAAGAATGTCAAGGTAGACAGAAATTGATATACCATCAGAGAGGAACTGGAACCTCAAACAGTCAATGCAAAAAACTAAATACAACAATTACTGCTACAGGCACAGCTGAAGAAAGCCAGACCTGAAGGTGAAGATGCAGTGACTAGGTATACATGCTCCTGAAGAGAAAAACAACAGCTGGAAATGTACTACAGTTACCAACATCACCTCCAGGAAGTCCTGATAGGCATCAATTACCATACTCAAAGACCAGAACAACTGGACTATTGTTCCCACAAAATGCCTTGGCTCTTTCCACATAACTTTTCTGGCTGACTTGTTACCCTGATAAATAATATTGGTAAGCAGCTATAGGCATATAGGTTGATTATAGTTTGAGACCCAAGCTGTACCCACATTGTGACTATCCTGTATAAATGACCCCTGACAATAGGTCTATGGCCAAAACACGGAAGACCACTCCTGATAGTTCAGGGCTATTCTTCTCTTTTTTCTAAGAAAATTTTTGAAACTCTTTTGGTTTATGACTTCATTTCTCAATGTTGTGAGTCATTAAACTTGATGGATTTGATATCAAACAAGGCAGGATTATATTTCAATTATCTCAATTTAAATATGAAATGTCTGCTAAAGGCATTGTTCCAAAGCCAGAATTTCAAGCTGCTTGTTTGCCCTGAGTTTAAAATTTCAATGAGCTTTTAGAAGTCCTCAGTCTAATGAACTGCAAATGTATTGGAGGAAGGAGGTCACTGTTGTCCTGTAGCACAATAGATGCCATTTCTAAGTCTGTGTTTGTCACTGCCTCCTGGATGCCCCTACATGGCCTTCTTTCCTCTGCAGCATCATTCAATAATTCCCATTTTACATCAGTCAAATTTCACTCAGCTCTGTTATTGTTTGTTTTCAATAGTCTTTCTGTCTACTTGGTTTTTTTTTTTTTTTTAGTTTTTAGATTTAAAGACACAGTCTCACTTTGGAGTTCTGGGTAGCCTTGCACTCACTATGTAGGTTTGGCTGTCTTTGATTACATGGCCATTCTCCTGTTTCAGCTTCTTCATTGCTGGGGAAAAGAGGTGGGCATTATAGCACATGGTGTTTGTCTTTTTTCTCTTCTCCTTTTCACTACTATTCTTTCATTTCAGTGGCACTGTCATTTAATCCTGAGGTTTGTTTGTGTCAGTAAGGTTTCTGCAGCTTGAGGTGAGTTTGTGAACAACAATATAGGAAGCCAAGCAACCCAATTGAGAAATGTGGAATTTCATTAGCTGGTCTCAGGACCACTTTTATACAGAACCCCCACCCCCATTTCAGGATCTAAACAAGAGGCTCTGAACTGGAAAGTTAGAGATGTTTTAAAAGATAGAATCACAAAAAGATCCTGTTGGAAATCATTTAGCTAGAATCTTATAATAATTTTTGGATGACAACTGTATTCTGTTTCTTTTGTTGAGCAGGTTTATTTTTTTCTTTGGGTACAGCTCATTTTGCTTTTCTCCTGGGACTTCTACCCTGAGTGATTTTCCATTTTTCTGAGTGAAATACAGGGCACTAGTTAAATGCAAAGCTCAAGATGGCATCTGTTAAGCCAACCTACAACACAGCTAAGTTAGAAGTCTCAATATTTTCTAGGGTAAAAACACACATATCTATAATCCCACACTCAAGACACTGAGATAGGAGTGCTGCTTTGAGGTTAGGGCAATTCTGTGCTCCATAAAGTGTTCAAATCTAGCTGATATACATAGAGAAAACTTGTCTCAATAAAACAAAACAAAACTAAACAAATAAAACCAAAAAAAAAAAGACAGCTGAATGGAGACTGATTTCTTCAAATCTTAATTCCACATCTTGGGGATTAATTTTTGTATATACACATGTTTTGAGACAGCAAATTCAATGCTATATTGCAACTCACAGCTAATGTAATAGCCAAATAGGAGCACTGATTCTTATGCTGAGTCACTGCAAGAGTCCCTGTGCGCTGTCTCTAAAGCAGAGCTCATATAGTTAGAGCCTGCAGGACCAGCATCCCTAAAGCACAGAGGCGGACAAATATCTCATGAATCACTATGATGTACTACCAATGATATCTCTTCAAATCTCATTTAGGCCACTGAGTCCTTTGTTCTTAATATACTTAAGCAGCATTTTGATATTTAAATTTGGTTTCATAGAACAAAACATAAATAACATCAAATATGATACATAAATAATAACTCAAATGTTCATGGAAAACTGCTGTATGTAAAAAATGTATAAACAATGAAACCAGGTACAAGTTTCAAATTATAGCTCAGTCTCACCAAGTGATCACCAAGTGATCACTCTCCATTCAGATATAAGAAATATATCTTGGGAGGCTAATGCAGGATAACTTCCTTGAGTTTGGGGCTAGCCTAAGTTACAGAGCTGTCTGAAATATAGAAACCCTGACTGAGACACCCCGCAGACAATTTGAAACTTGAAAAGTGACTGCATATGACACCTTTGGTTTGCTTTAAAAATTATATCCATACAATATAGAAAAATTCCACAATATTCAACATTTTCTGAGGAACAATGTTGATATCATACATAGTATACAGAAAACACTTTCAAAGCTGGGTATTTAGCTCAGCAGCATGAACCTAGCAAGCTTGACATCATGAGTTCGATCCCTGTTACAAAAAAAAATTCAAATTTCACCTTCATGACACTGGGTCATAATTAGAGATAATCAGAATTAGATCTCAAGTGAAGAACACAGAATTCATGGGTTGACAAGGATGTGGAATACTGATTCTTACCAGAGCTGGAGTTATTCACCTCAAGGAAGAAATCATAAGCCAACTTTAACTTCATGCTTACCCTAAGAACTACCTGACTTTCAGGGAACACCCTCCCTGTTGTATGTCCTGCTGTTGGCACACTGCGTCCTGCCAATCACTTCCACATCCTTTCCATGCTCATCTGATCCACCCTAAGCAGAAAACCCTTCACGGCTAAACTATTGATATCTCTGCACAATTTCAATTTATGGCATCTCCTTTACACCACTTAGTAAAGTCCACTGCAGAGCATTTCCATATTTCAACAATGTATGTGATCAACCAAGCTATTAAATCACTTCTTAATTAAGATATGACACCCATTTTCCTTTCCATTCAGAAGGATATCATATATATATATATATATATATATATATATATATATATTCATGCAAATGACTAAATTTAGGCATTTTTTCAATGGGAATTTAACAGGCAGCCCTTTCTGGAATTTGTCTTTAGCAAACACACTTTACCCTGCCCTTGGTAACACATTTATATCTGCTTTATTTTTCTCAAAATTTAAACCTCTATTGATGTTCTCCCAAACATCATCTATGAGCACATATGTCACATCAAGTATGTTCCGAAATTCTTTGCATTGTTCTGTATAATACACAGCAGTTCATACGGTGTTTCGGAAGCCTTTCTCCACTGAGGCACATGACTACACATCTTTTAATTCTCAGAACCTTTGCCTCCACCTTTCATGAGCATGGAAATATGAGAACATAGTATAAATTTAGGAAATCACAAAATACATAAATGCATAAGTTTAAGGAAAGCAGTTGTGGCTATGAGGTCCTGCATCACAGACATTTATAAACTTCTGGCTTCCAGATCTGTTGCTGACAGGAATGAGAGCAGAGACCTAGCTTATTACAGCTGCACCCAGCTAGAAACCACATCGGAATCAGGGTCTCCTCATGCACCTTCCTGGTCCCAGGCGGTTGGAGGAGCAAGGGCAGCCGGTGATTTCAAAAATGGCATTGTGTCCTGGTTGTATCACCGTAGTGACAGCATTCTAGGGATCCAGAACTGTCCTGGCCCCAGCGAGAGGTAAAAGGGATAGAGGATGCCTCACTGCTAGCACTAGAGGACCTCAGGGTCTGAGGCTAAGCACACAGGCTCTAGACAACACAGCTGCTTCTCACCACTTCTTTTTTTTTTTTTTTTTTTTTTTTTTGGTCTTTTTCCTTTTTATCGGTACCGGGGATCGAACTCATGACTGCCTGTTTTCAAGGCAGGCGCTTATGCTGCTGAGCTAAAAACCCCCAGCCCCTTCTCACCACTTCTAACTGGTCTCAACCGGATTCCACCCCATATCACTGCTCCCATCCCATAACATCACCATTGCGTAGTTTGGACGTCTCCCAGGTTCTATCTAAGCAGTCCACGGAGAACAGAAGCAAAAAACAGTGGTCTAGCAAACATCTAGTGCTCCACTGTTTGCCCTGTCTTTGCAATTGACGCCATGACACCGGAAGAGACCGCCTGCCTTGGCCCGCCTGATTGGACAATTCTTACAGCCAGCCTCTTCATCACTGATTGGCTCCTGCTCTCCTGCCTGCCTTCCCCACCAAGAATAATTACAGAAAAAAAACCCACCCTGTAACTGTGGATCCCCAGTGAAAGATGGTGGAGGCTTCTGGAGCTGGCTGTCTTCTGGAATGTTGATCTCAGCTCCTCTGATGGGTATTTGCACTGAAAGTCTTTATGTCAGTCCTTGTTTTTTCTCCCAAACGCATTTTATTTGAAAATTAAAAAGTAAAAAAAAGTGGTCCAGGGATTTAGCTTAAGAGCCTGCCTGGCAAGCTAGAGGTCATGCATTCCATCCAAGATCTGGCTACCACAAATTGTGTTGCTATAAACATGGGTGCACATATATCACTGTGGTATGATGATTTTTATTCTTTTGGGGAGATACCCAGAAGGAGAATAGCTGAGTTGAGTGGGACCTGTAGACCTACTTTGTGTGGAATCTCCACACTGATTTCCACAGTGGTTGCTTTACCACCAACAATGGAGAAGGGTTTCTTTTACCCCCACAAGCCCTCCAGCATTCGTTATTGCTTGATTTCTTGACAGTAGGCATTTTTTCTGGGGCAAGGTGACATATCAGTGTTATTTAATTTGCAATAGTTAAATGACAAGTGATGCAGAACATTTTATCACATTTATTTGCTGTTTCTATTTCTTCATCTGAGAACTGTGTATTTCACCTCACATGCACATTTTTGATTTGGGTCTTTAAATCTGTGAAGCCTGAAATTTTTTAGTTTTCCTTGCTCTCAATAGTAATACTTTGTCTGAGGAACAGTTGGCAAACATTTTCTCTCACGTTTTGGGTTGTCTCTTTACTCTTTAGTGATTTCTCTTGCTGTTAAAAAGTTTTTCAGTAGGGTGAGATTCTCACTTAATTCTCTTTGAGTTTTGCTGTTCAATCCATGTTTCCTTCATAAAGTCTTTGCTTACATCAATGTCTTCAAGAGTTTTACTTACTCCATCTTGCAGCTGATTTAATGTTTCTGTTTTAATATAAGATCTTTGATCTATTCTGATCTTAGCTTAAAACATGTTGAAAGATAATATTCAGAATGTATAGAACCACTTTTTCCAGCACCATTTATTAAAGAGGCTGCTTTTCTTCCCATGACTCTGTTTGGTACCTTTGTCAAAGATAAGATGGTTTAGTGGTTTGGGGTTATTTCTCCATCTTCTAAGTTGTTCCTTTAATCTTTGGGTCCGGTTTTGTTTGTTTTGTTTTTTGTCAGTACCACACCTTTTTTTTTTTAAATCACAATACCTTTACAGTATAATTTCAAGTCAGGGATTTTGATGAACCCTATCTTTTCTTTGTTGCCCAGGATCACATTTGCTACTCTAGGTATCTTCTGGTTGCAGATGAATTTTAGGATTTATTTTGTGTAATTCCTTGAGATATGCTACGGGGTTTTGATTCGGATTGCACTAATTCTGTATAATAGCTTTGGACGTATGTTCATTTTCAGTATATTAAACTTCCCTACCCAAGACTATGAGATAGTTCTTCATTTTAGAATATCTTCTTCAATCTCCTTGTTGAGAGTACTGTAGTTTACAGTGTAGAGGTCATTTACATCCTTTGTTAGTTTGATTCCTAAGTATTTCATTTTGTTGGACGCTATTGTAAAAGTTATTGTTTCCTTGATTTCTCTTTCCATGAGTTTTTTATTCTTGTTTATGAAGTCTATTGATTGTTGAGTGTTGCCTTTGTAACCAGCTATATTACTGAATTTGCTTCTTAAACTAGAAGTCTTTTGGTGGAATTTTTAGGGTCTTCTAAGTAGAGGATCATGTCTTCTGCAAATAATGATAGTTTAAGATTTTCCTTTCCTATATTTATTCCATTTATTTCTTTCTCTTGTCTAATTGCTCCAGCTAGTTTCCAGGACTATATTGAATAAGAGTGGAGACAGTAGATATCCTTGTTTTGTTCCTGATTTTAGAGTGAAAACTTTCAGTTTTTGTCCACTTAGTATGAGGTTGACTGTTGGTTTGTAATAAAAGGCTTTTGTCAGATTGAGATAAAGATCATCTCTCCCAACTTTTGTAGGTTTTTTATTATGAATAGGTGATGGACTTCGGCAAAATCTTTTTCTGCATCTATTGAAATGATCAAATGATTTTTGCTTTTGGATTTGTCAATACGGTGTATTATATGTATAGATTTATGTATGTTGAACCACCCCTGCATCCCAGGGAATAATTCCACTTAATCATGGTGTAAAATCTTCTTGATGATATTCTGCGGTCTGTTTGCCAGCACCTTATTGAGGATTTTTGCTTCAATGTTCACTAGGCAGGATGGTCTGTAATTCTCTTTCTTATTTGGATTGTTCTCTGGTTTTGGTATCAGGGTAATGCTTGCTTCCAGGAATGAATTGAGAAGTACCATTTCCCATTCAATTTCATTAAATTTTGAGAAGTGGTGGTGTTAGGTCTTCTCTAAATTTCTTATTTATCCCTGCCATTTCATGGCTACCCCTTCTTTCTTTCAAGGATCAGTGGACTCTTTCCATAATGTGCTGCAAATGTTTTCAGGATTCAAGTTCAATCCTCCAGGAATAAAAAATCCACTGATGTCAGAAAATATTCTGAGAACAGGCCAGTGCAGAACACAACAGAACAGAGTCAGAAGTCTGTGTTAGAGGCAGCAGACTTCATTTTCATGATTTTCACCTATTTCTATTAATTTTCCACCTAGAAACCCAGTATGTGAACACAAAAGGAGCACAGTTACTGTGTAAAGTGAAGACATTACATTTAAGTGATAGTAATGGTCTGCAACAGAGTAAAGATGAAATAAAAGCAAGCATCAGTTCTCCAAGACAAGCTTGCTACTCATTCAGACTCATAAAAATGCTGAATTCTGAAAGTGATCATATTGCCAAGCATGGGGGTGACAATTATTGCTGAAATGGAACCAAACATTTCCTTCTGATGAGGCAGGGACACCGAGGACTTCACACTCTTAAGTTTTCCTTGCTGTATAGTTCCCGTGTCACTAATTGGCACTCAGCTCTTCAGGATTTTAATGTTCCTAGAAGTCATATACTCCCTAAAGCCTGGTGATCCATTTGTTAACACCTTTTTGGCTTCAGAAATGTGTAGGATATTACTATGATCGCTTCTATATGTATACACTGCAGCCATGTGTGTTAGAACCCATGAACCAAATCTGGTCCCTGGATCCTTCCTCTCAGGTTCTGAAACTGTTCTCTGGCTCCTTGACCTCATAAAAAAGTTGCCTTTTCCTTTACACTTTTCTCCAAGATATTTATGCTTTGGAAACAGTCAAAACCAAACTTCCCTCATGGAAACAATAAGATAAAGAATAGGTTTATATTAAATTTTGTAAGTCAGGGATTTTGTACCTGTATAAATGTAAAGAAATAAAAATCTAATATAATTCAGCTAGCTGTATGTTCCGAATAAACTTCCAGTGCATCAACTCATTCTTCAACTAATTATGTAAATGAGTTTTTAATCTATGAAAACCCTAACAGTTTTTTAGCTTTTACCTGTTTCAATTTGACTCCAGCAATTCTTTGGGGATCAAAACCACATAATTTCCTGAACAATCCATTCTCTGCCAAGCAGGCATAACTGGCATCTGGTGAGGAATTCATGGTTAAAACAAATGAACTGCTAGAAACAAAGACTCATGTTACATAGTACTTAGCAAGTTGATGGAGGCCACCTTTATTATCTACCAATTTCACTTATAAGTACTGACTTAGAAAAGTTATGCTGAATACTCACAATGATGTAAAGAAGTGTATAATCATAGTTTCTGAGAAATCACTTATAATACCCCTCAATATGTTAAAAAGGTAGCATGTGTTGATAAGTTAGCAATATATTTGTTGATAATGACACTTCCATCTACAGGTAAAGAAAATTTACATGCAACAAAATTTTCAGGAAACTTACAGTTATCCTATCTGGAAGTTAATTTTCTGTTGGGGCCTATGACTAAATATCTAGCCCCCAAAAAAGTGCACAGCAAAGGACCAAAAGATGAGAAAAGTGGCATTGTCTTGAGGGCAACAGGAAGAGTGAAATCTTTAGAACTCATAACTCTGCTAACCATCCAGCCACCTGTCACTAGGCAGCCCATATTTATTCAGAACAAGCAAGGAAGTGAGTGGACAATGGTAAAAACCTGAGCAGTCCCCTGGGAGAGGTTCAAGGACCCCCCACAGAGCAACAGATGATTCTAATTAAGAAAAACTATCCAGGAAGTCTCCAAGTGACCTCAGCTGTGGCCTATCTTGTTCCTTATGGTGTCTCCTCATTCTCAATTCAATCATGGCCTGGCCACACCACAGCCCTGCACATGTATTCATCTTCAACCCTTTCCAACGTCTCTCTCTTTTTTTGTTTTGTTGACTCCCAGGATGGGTAGCCAGCTTAAGGTTGGGAATCATTGAGGAGAACTCCAATTTAAACTCATCATAATCCATCAGTTCATAACAGTAGTCATTTGCCAGTATAGCCAGCAATTGTCAGAGGATGTTAGTGATCCTAGCTTCCCCCACAGCCAAGCTTTTACATTGTACTATATCTTCAGAGGCCAGGCTTATCTAAAACACAAGAAGTTTTTTGTGTATTATTGAACAACTTATTGATCTTTAGTTGAATGTGAATCTCACAAGTCTTTGTTATCAGCAAAGGTGTGCACATGAGACAAAAATATGTTGCCATAAGTAATCCCCACTTTACAATCATGGAGTCTTATGCATCCAGAATTATGAATATATGCAATACATCATATAGTTGATTACAATAAACTGTCATAACCATGTGAAACCTTTATACAGGCCTCATCAAACCAAAAATATGTATTACTTCATTTGATAATGACCAATGTGAACTTTAGAAATACATTTCATAAATTTATTTCAGGTGTCTCCTATAATGCTCTGGAGATAA